TCAGGGGTCTTGCAATTTATATCCATGAACTTGGTCTACAAACACAGCCTCTAAGTTTTCATAGCACTGTAAGCAAATATTGATTGAGATTTAGAACCTTTATATAGACCTTTATATTTTAATTTAATTGGTGTTATAGAAAAACCAAACTCAGGATTATAATGTGATGTTGCTGGAAAGGTAAGTATTGGATCCAGGAAACTTGCAGTAGAAGCCCCTGGGCATCTTGCTAGAGTAAAGGCATAGCTCACCACACAGAGCACCCTCAGGTGTGTGCCTTGTGCTGGCTCCAGCCAAGTGGCTGTTGTCATATGAGCATGTGAAACAAATGCTTACTGAACAAAAGACTCTTTACATATTAAGCATTTTCATAAAGATTTAAAACTGGATACCTTAACCATTTGCTCACTTGTTGACCAATTTAGATAAATTTTTATTCACACATAAAAATATAGTGAACACCCACTATGTACTAGTCTTTGGGAAGTAAGGCCGTTGAGGCGAAAGCATAGTTTGGGCTTTCAAGGAATTTAGGATCTCCTAAGGGAGCATTATCTGCAGTTCTGGAGCAATCCCATATGGTGATGGGAGTGGCGGCAGCAGAGAGATGGATCAGCTGAGCCTCAAGGATCAGAGGAACATTCCTAGGAGGCGCCTTCCAGGCTGTGGGGAAATTGCTCATGTATTCAGGGAACTGGGAGTAAGCCGGGTGTGGCTAGACTGTGAGGTGTGGCAGGAGGAGAGGCTGATCCCTATAGCAGAACAGGTTTTATCCAGAGCCAGTGCCTGAGCAGTCAGAGCTTCTCTGGATCTGTCCCAGTCCTGCCACCTGTCCTTGCCCTTTTTCAAAATGGCTTTAAGGGAGGGGGAATGGTAGGCAGAATGTCTACCTGAGGCTGTCTTTGCACATTAAATAGCCAGAATGTCTAACTTCAGGTCCTACTTTTAACCATCTGTGCCTTAAAACCTCACCGCAAACCTCTTTCCCTCATATGAGGGGCTGTCACAATGAGCCCTGGCTCACCATCTCAAAGGCAGGCAACACATGGGCCCAAGCACCTAGCGCAGGCAAGTGTAGAGGGTAGAGGGCATAAAGATGAGGATGATACTCCATTTCATCTAACTCACAGACTGATAAGGGGACAGACAGGCCTCTACTTCCCAGGCTTCACCGGAGGAGAGCTCTTGCACATGACAAAGTCACTGCCATGGAGTCCTTCCCTGTCCAAGCTATGAGTTTATCTAACCACCCAGCCCTGGGAGGCAGGTGCGGCCCATCTGCCTGGCTCCAGAGTCCGCCTTCCTCCCTCCAAACTCAGAACCATGCCAGCAGGAGGAAACCGGCACACACATTCTGGGAGAAGTGGGGCTCGCACTGGGCCTCAAAACATGGATAGGTCTTCAGCAGGCAGAGAGGCAAGTGAAGGGCATTCAAGTAAATGAACACGCAGAAGTAGGACGTCCCAGGTGACAGCAAGGGAAATCCCACCACAGAGAAGAGGGAGCTGACAGAGAATAGACCAAAACCCAAACTCCAAGGCCTGGGCCTGGACATGGGGAGGAGTCAAAAGAGTGAACAAGCATAGAAAGTATCAAAATTCCCAGAATCAGCAAATTCTTCTGGGTTTGAAAATCTTATAAGGGGGATGGAGGGACCTCGTCAAGTAGAAACTCAACCACATGGAGTGCTCATCACCTCTCTTAAGAAACCTCATAGTCCAGTTGCTTAATGAATTAATTAAACTCATTGGCCCAGCCTTGTTCTCTCAGAATTGGGTTTGAATTTTTTTCTATTTGTGGAAAAGGGAGCAGGAAGAGGGCTCAGAATCCTGGTCCCTGTATTAATTTGCTAGGGCTGCTGTAACAAGGTACCACAAAGTGAGTGACTTAAAAACAGACTTTTATGTCTCACAGTTCTGGAAACCGGAAGGCCAAGATCAAGGTGTTGGTCTGGTTGGGTCATTCTGAGTACTGTGAGGGGAATCTGTTCCCAGCCTGATCTCTGGTGGTCCTTGACTTGTGTACACATCTCCCCAATCTCTGCCTTCATGTTCACATAGAGTTTTCCCTGTGTGAGTGATGGTCTCCGTGTCTCAGTTTCCCCTTTTCATAAGGACACAGTCATATTGGATTCGGGCCCACCCTAATGACCTTATCTTAAACTTGTCACCTGCAAATATCCTTTTTCCAAATAAGGTTACATTCATGGGTATTGGGCGGAGGCACAGTTCAACCCATAACAGTTCCCAAATGTGCTGTGTAGATTGCCAATCCCCTCCTTCATGTCCCATCAACAACACAGACAGGAAATTGAAGATGGCGTTTCAGGATCCTTCCAGATCCCATCCTTTGTCCACCACAGAGGGGCAGCCACCCTTTGTATACTCAGTCAAAATCCCTGGGAAGTGAGGGCCTCTGTGTCGAGAGATACGGAGAGCAGCCAGGGCATCTGCCCTGCTTTCTGGGCAGATACTCTGCTCCCCACAGGCACACGCTCTCAGGTGAGAGAAAGCCCCCGCACACGGGTGTGTTCCAGACATCTGGAGAGGCAGCTCCTTATCCATCATTACTCACAACATCTACAAGGGTGGGCAAAAGCAGGTTTACAGTTGTTCATGTGGGGAAAGACATGCAGGTTATGATTATTACAATAGCTCACAGCTGTAAACCTACTTTTGCCCACCCCTGTGTGTGTATATGGTGGTTAACGACAGTTGAAATTGTACTCTTAAGATGTTTTCCAAAATTTGTAATAGATATTGTAAAAATTTATGATACATTAGTGAAATAAAGCACAATATGAAATTTTGCATATGGTTTGATTTCAAACACACGTTTTTAACAGCTTTATTGAGATATAATTCACATATTTAAAGTCTGCAGTTCATTGACTTTTACTATATTCATGAAGTTGTGCAACCATCATCACAATCAGTTGTAGAATATTTCACCACTCCAAAAAGAAACCCTGTACCCCTTAGCTGTCATCCTCCAAACCCCCATCCTCCCTGCCCCCAGCCTTAGATAACCACTAATCTACCTTCTGTCTCTATAGTTTTCCTCTATGCCTATATTTCATACAACTGTATGTTTATTTTAATTAGAAAAAAAATCGAAGAGAACTGCAGACCAGACAGGAGATGACTTTTACCAGTGAATAGCAGAATTATAATTTTAATTTTCTTCCCTTTATTTTGGTATTTTTCTAATTATACAATGAGCATGAATTGCTAATCAAAGGAGAAACATTTTATTTTTAAAATAAAGAGAACTAATCCTATTTAAGTAGTCCTCATGGATTATTCTGAAAACTTGACCTAAATCATAATCTTATTTTAAGGGGGGCAAACAACTGACTTCAAATAGCAAATTTGGTGCACAGTTGTTAGAAGTGGAAATGCTGCATTGCATTTGTTTGCTCTGCACTGGATTTCCTAAGACCTGGCCCCAGAAGCCTTGCATCCCACTCTTCAGGGTCTTCCCATCCTTAATCAGGTGATATCTCTCAGCCTTCAACAAATTGTTGCTTGTCTCAGGTGAGAGACCCTGTCATTAAACCACATCCTTTTGCCTCTTTAATAACATTGGAGACAGAGAGTATAATTCTGTGAGGGGATGGAAGGAATATGTAATTTAGTGTCCTTTTCCTGAGCCAGTATGAACTTCGTGCATGTAGCGTCTTGAATGCTTCAGGTGTAAAAAGTGATCTGTTGTCTCAGCAAGTGCGTTATGTGAGCAAAATACATACTGAATCCATCTAACAGTCAGAGGCTCTTTGGATCTGTGTCTAGCATACTTGGTATTTCCAGAGTCACCTTTCTTTGATGAATAGACTTTACACTGGAGGGAAATGAGCTTAGCTAGGTGAGGTTCATGAGACAAATTGGTCCTAGCCACCATCACAGAAACTCTTCCTTTGCCTTAGCTAGAAACCTGGGCTTCATCCTTGACTCGCCTGGTTCCTCTGTGCCTCACATCAACTCATTGGGACCCTAATCTTTCTGATTGGCCTCCTCTCCTTCAATCCCCACCCCAGCAGCCTCAGAATGGTTGCCTCCTTTCTGCCCCTTCCTGACCAATGAAGTTCATCCTCCACATGCACCGATGGTGCTTCATGATCTGACCCCCTCACCTGTCTGGTCTTGCCACCCACCAGTCCTCCCCATGTGTCCATGTTCCCACCCCAGCAGACCCCCATATCCCCTGGTATATTAGAGCCCCATCCATGGGTTCTTAACCTGGATTCCATGGACAGGATATGTGAGTGTCCTAAAATAGAATGCATAATTGTGTTTGGTGTGTGTGTGTGTACAGGGGGAGGGATGATATTTTTCTAGGAGGACAATCCTTGGCTTTCATAAAATTCTTAAAGATAATCTATGAATCCCCCGATTTAAGAACTGTATTCTGGGTGTTTGAATGTGTTCTTCCCCTTTCACGTAGTATCTCACCTTTCCACCCTGGTGGACAGCTCCTGAGGACCACGCAATCACCACCTACTTTCCTACTTGATGTCCCTTTCTTGTGGCCCCATGGCTCTGCTTACCCAGCACTTTCCCAGCTGGGATTTCATTACTTGTTTACATATTTGCTGTCCCTTTCTGCCCTGCCTCCAGCACAATGTACAGCACAATGTCCAGTCAACTCTTAGTAAATACTGGCAGAAGAAGGAAAGAGACCAGGAAGGGCACTGGGCCATTTTCTCTATGGAAAGCCCACAATCAGTTGGGTGATGGGACAGAGTGTTGCTAATGGCTTCATCTCGGAGCAGAGCGCTGCCCCTGACTTGTGCACCCTCAGGAGGTGAGCCCATGGATTTGTCCCCTTTGGTATGCTTATAGACATTTCCTCTAAGAACTGCAGGCCCAACTGTCTGGCATCTACATGGAGAAATCTGACTTCCATTTGCCTTGAGAATTTACTAGATGCGTAATGATTTTTAAATTACCTCTTGACAAATTTTGAGCTCTTTGTTTTTCTTTTCTTCCATTCCCTTTCAGATTGATGCACTGAGTAAAAGAAGCAAAGAAGCTGAGGCAGCCTTCTTGAATGTCTACAAAAGATTGATTGATGTTCCAGGTAAGCCCATGCACTGATAACCCCCCAGTGGGCATTGTGTCTGGAGAGTTGGTGGGTTTCGCGGGCTTACTCTTCTCAGTTTCCTAAGAGAATTACACCATCAATGGCAAGAAACCAAGGAGTTCTGGGAATTCTCCAAAACCCAGACTTTGGGTAGGTATGGAAATTAGATATACTTGTGTTAAAGTCATCACATAACCTCCAGTGAACGCTTTTGCAAATGTGGAAACTCAAATCGGTGGAGCCACCTTTAGCTTTGGTATAAAATGCTGCACAATTCACAGAGAAGTAGAACCTGTGGAGTGCTGTGCAGATGTCATGGATATTCGTGCTTCTGGGCTGGTTGATTCCACATTCAGGAACAGCCCTAATAGGATACCTCGAATACCTCACTCCCCTCCCCGGTCATCCAGGGAGCCAGTAACCTCTGGCCACGTTTTTCACTTAAAGTTTATAGCCAAGGGCAAGTGGTAGCCCAATTAGCTACAACCAAGTACTGTATGTGGATTACTGACATGACTAGAACTACTTTAACAAAGCAAAACAGCTACAGGTCTCCTTTATATCTGAACTTGCATTCTAATTCAGGTCTCCTGTGGGCTTTGCTGTACCATTTGGGACCTGGGATTAAAAGAGGTCACCCAAGCAAGGGGCAGCAGAAAACACTTTGGACAGGAAGTAGGGAGATTCAGATTCTCTTGCCAGAGCCTTGTTGTGAGGTCTTTGTCCCATTCCTTTTCCTGTCTGGACCTCAGTTTTCCCATCTTTGAAATGGAAGAGTGTAAGGGGACAGCCTCGTGGTAGAGAATGGTTTTCTTTGTTCTAAACTTTTGCTGTCGTAGGAGCTTATCCAGCACTTAGTTCCAAATTCTGGCTTTTTGACTTTCTGCAAGAGTTTGTAACCAACTGGGGGTTCCCTGAAGACTGGCTGAGGCTCATGAAAAGGCTTCTTCACAGCAAATGGATATTGGATGCCTGTGGTGTGGTCTTTTCTCAGGTACTGGCACCTCGGTGGTCCCACTGGCATGATCTTATGCAAATGCAAGTTTTGTGTTGATGACTTCGTTGAAAGGAGTCTGACTTGTTTCATCTTTGCCAAAGACCCAGAGTCTTTTGCTGCTGTTTTCTAAATACCTTACACTCTCCTTTTTTAAAGTCCAGCTTTTACTTAGGTTTTTCCTTAGTGAAGTTTCTCAGCTGGGCAGCCACTTTAACAAATTGTTGGGTTTCTTTTTCTGCCATTATTTTCCATCCTAATTTCCCATAGGAAAAACGAGAACATATTTTTCATCAATGATCTCCGCCTGAGCAGACCTTAATCATGTTCGTATATTATTTTTATAGAATTTTTTTCATACTCTGGGCACATATTTACATTATGCTTTTTTCACTTAACATTATACTATCAGCATTTTTCCCATTGGTGATATTCTTTGTAATTATCATTTTTGGCTGCAGAATTAAAGTTTGCAATTTCAGCTTAAGGTGATGGGAGCAAATAATGTTCGATGTTTTCTGTAATAAAAGTCAATCAAGTCCATCTGCATGCCAAATAGATCACTTTTACCCACATCCCAGGTATTTCTTTCTTACACATGCTGTGGTCTGACGGTTCTCACAAGTTCCTCGAGAAGCATGAGTGGAGCTGGGAGCACTCTACCTGTGTTTTGAAGTCCTGCTGCTCAGATGAAGTAATCCTGCGGCTGAGCTTTACAGGAAGGGCTTGGTCAATAGCGTTGCATTTACTGACAGTCACACAGTTGTGGAGAGTCAGATGCCTTAACTGTCTGTGTGCTTCAGGCTTCAGTCCCGCCAAACCCAGAAATATTGGTGGGGTGCATTCAGTCTTCTAGTTTCAAGAAACATCAACTCACGCTATTTCAGAAAACTACAGGAAGCTCTTGGGAATAATGAGACTGGTATTTCAGGTTTGTGCCATGTGGCCCAGCTCCAGGAGCCCAGGAAGAGCCAACCAGCCACCCCAGGAAGAGGCAGAGCCCGAGTCCCAGGCCTTGAAGACTGGCACAGTAACCTGACTGACCAGTCCCCACTTGCCACCTCTTCCAGAAATTTTATTTATTTGTGGGTTTTCTTGTTTCTTATCTGCTGGTCCTACTCAAATGAAAGCTCCTTGAAGAAAGCTTGGGTTATCACTCTATGCCCAGCACCTGGAGCAGGGCCTGGCATAGCACAGGTGTGACATGTTGAAGGACACAATGAGTCCGTCAGCCCAAGGCCACTCTGGAGTCCTCCATAGCCGAATTGGCAAAAGGTCACATCAGTAGCTCTGAAAGCTTTATCTCTGTCCAGTTCTCCCTTTTGAGTGTCAGCTTGAATATCCAGCAGCCTCCTGGACATATTCTCTAGGGTGGCTGATGGGGACCCTGAAACCACCCAGTGCGTCCAGAGGAAGCCTTCTTACTGAGTTCCTTCACCTGGGGAGCTGCACCATCTTCTACCCAGCTGCACATGCCGAGCACTGAGTCACCAAGTTCCGGCCATTCTTCCTTCAGAATGTTCTGTATTCCATCCACTTCTCTCCATCCCAGCTTCTGCCCTCCACTTGCAATTCAGGCCTCCCCCCTCATGTCTACAGTATTGCGACGCCAGGATTTGTGCTTGCAGGGTTGCCTCCTTCTAGTCCATTCTCCAGACGGCCAGCAGGCCAGGCCCCTTCTCAGCTCAGCTCAGCTCACTCCTGAGGTAAATTTGAGACACTGCTACCTGACCTCCCAGGTTTGGCTCAGGTGTGTCCTTCTCACACACACATGCCCCACTCCCAGCAGCCTGTGTTCCCTCTGTTACAGCTACTTGGGACTCAGCTGTTTTCCTTTCTGGCTGGGCAGAGTGACTGGGGCAATGTGGTCTTGTCCCTAATTATTTCTCTCGTGTCTACCCCAGTGCCTGCCATGTAGCAGAAACTCCATAAATATTTGTCAAATGAATTAATGGATCAAATTATTTCTTCAAATGTTTTCTGAGGTTTTTTGGTCTCTGGCTTTAATTGTGAGGTTGACACTTTCCACTGAGGGAGAGCACACTGGAGCATTCTAACGACCTCAATGGTGAGAGAACAGAATGTATCTTTCCTTGACTTGGGGCCATTTAATAATTCTCTGAACTCTCATTTTGCTTCATATCACTCTATAAAGATTTACCTGCCTGCACAGACATTTATATGACACTTAGCATTTGGGGTTCATCAGACCAGCATATGCACTTCAGAGGCCTTGGGCTTTGTGGCTGGTACTGACATCCAAAAGCTGTGTTTGGTTTAGTAGCTGTCCTGCTGGCATCCCAAGCTTTACACACTCAGCACAAAGCATGGAATCTCCCTCCACTCCCACCCGTTCCCCTCCTGCCTCCTCTCCTTCAGTGGTGTGACTCAGCTCTTCTCTCTTCTTCATCGTCCACAGTCAGTATCCCAAAGTTATTTTTCCTTTGAAAAGCTCCTTCTTATTAAAGATACTTAATCAACATTTAAATACACACTCATCCTGATGAGTCCTCTTAATAGTTAAACTAGTTAAGATCTGATGTATGTGTTCTTTCTCATTTGCTACCAGATTGCTCTGCATTCCCTAATTAATTTCAGAGTATTTTAAGATGCTTTTTATTATAAATATTCTGCTACTGTAGCCAAAGCACACTCTCCTTCCACACTGCTCTGACCCTCGTTCCCTGAAATTTCTTAGTTGGCACCTTAAACACCATCCCCTTGCTATGTCTCAGGAACCATGCTGAGCTACTGCACTAGAGCAGTGAGCAAAGCAATCAGATAACTTCCTGTTCTCATGAACTTTAGAGTCTGGTGGGAATGTGGGCATTAAAAAGTAATTACACAAGTAATTATTGAATTTTAGGTGTGGTAAGTGCTTGGAAGGCAGAGCCCATTGGGCATAAAAGTGTAGAATGGGTAGGATTGGGCAGGCTCAGAGGCGGATGCTTGTGAACAAGAAGAGGAGAGGGCAGTAAGGAGTGGCCAGGCACTACATTGTCCAAACGAAGACACTGTCAGTAGTCAGTAGTTTAACTTGAGTAAAGGGCATACACCAGTGTGGTCACCCAGCTGCAAAGGCAGGTAGAGGCCTGGTAGATTATGTGAAGGGTTCTGGACTTTAACAGACAAACTATGAATGAGTTTTAAGCGGAGCAGTAACATGATCCTGTCTGTATAATAAAAAAGTCATCCTGACTGCAATTTGGACAACAGATTTGGAAAGAAGTCCAAGGTGATGTGGGAAGAGAGAGATGAGGTTGCTAGGTTTCAGGTGGCAGGAGTGAAGTTGGAGAGAGAGGATGGTTGAAAAGTGACTAGGGCAGCTTTAGCCCAGAACTCAGTTAACACAATGTTATTTCCTCCATCTCTGGGTAACAATACTTGTTTACGTGGTTTACTTGTTTACATGGCTTTCAAAATTAAAAGGAAGACCAATAAAATGTTTGGAAAATTAGCCTCCCATTTCTAATTCTAATTGAAAATTAGAATTGTTTTAATTGAAAATGTTCTTTGACTTTATTGTCAGCATCATAGCAGTAGGAGGGAAGTTTTGAATTCATAAATAAGTTATAATTTTATGCCTTTAATCTAGATGGCTTCACCTGTCCATTTTATCTCAGACAGATTTTTATATCATAACTAGAGGCCTGGTGCACAGATTCATGCACCGGCAGGGTCCCTCGGCCTGTCCTGAACCCTCTCGCAATCCAGGACCCCTCAGGGGATGTCGGACTGCCTATTTCAGCTTGATCCCCACAGGCCAGGCTGAGAGACCCCACCAGTGCATGAACCTGTGCACCGGGCCTCTAGTATGCATATAAGATCTTTGGTTAATCTCTTCCTGCCCTCCCCCCTCCCCCCTTCCCTCTGAGATTTATCAGTCTGTTCCATGTTTTCATGGCTGTGTATTGAGTGTTTGCCCCCTGGTGGTCAGTGCACATCATAGCTGTTGGTCGAACGGTCAAAAGGGTCGCTTAGGCTTTTATATATAGAGATGTAT